GACCCATTTTGTTTCTGATTTATATCAATGATATGACCTCCCTTAACATCAGAGGTAAATTTACAGTGTTCGCTGATGATACCACAATATTGTGGCACAGCAAGAGTTCTGAGGAATTGGCCAAAATGGTGGCAGATGATATCAATGGGGTGAAGGACTGGTGTGATGCAAACCACCTTGCTTTCAATGTCTCGAAAACTAATATTTTAAACTTTAATTGTCATATAGGTGATATAAACCTCGGCAGTAGCCTAATCTCTAACAACTTGAATGCAAAATTCTTGGGTATAAATATAGATAATAGGTTGTCTTTCAGGAACCACATAATGAACCTGTGTAACAAATTGGCCTCGGGGTGCTTTGCGGTAAGGGTTGTATCAAGGGAACTAAATTTAGGTATGACAAAATCGGTTTACTTCGCACTTATTGAGTCCCATTTAAGATATGGAATCTGCTTCTGGGGTAATTCGAGCCATTTCCTGATAAATTCTGTTTTTGTTCTGCAGAAAAGGGCTATCAGGTATATGTGCAGGGTTGGGGCTAGGGAATCTTGTAAACCCTTGTTTATTCAAAATAACATTCTGACCCTGGCAGGTATATTTATTTTGGAGACTGTCTGTTTAATGTTTAGGAAGTTCGGAAGAGAGACGAGCGCGTCTCATTATAATACGCGTCAAATAGGCACTATACCTCTACCTATACCTCATACTGCACTTGTGAGGAATTCTTTGTTTTACACTGGTAAAAAAATGTATAACCATTTGCCTATTAGCTTAAGATCCCTAGAATCCCTAAAAAGATTTAAATTGGCTGTAAAGGAGCTATTATTAAAGAAAGCCTACTATAGTGTGACTGAATATTTTGAGGACCAATTTTAGACCGTCTACTGGTTCACTTATCTTGTACCTGTTTTATTATTGTTTTTAAGTCTTTGTTTATTTTTTAATTTTGATACATTTTTCGTCTTAAATTTTATTTATTGTTTTCGTCATTTTATTACATGATGGTGGTACATGTGTAAGTAGTTAACTTGTCTGTACTGTACTTCTTGTTTATTTCAATATGTTTTGTTCAATTTAAGAATTTTTAATTTAAAATCGTGTATTTAAATTTTTTTGCTAGTTTTAAGTTGCTTTGGTAATGAGATTGATTTTTCTTATATCAATAAAGCTATTTTGATTTGATTTGATCTTATTGTTTATAATTTCAATATTTTTGTAAGGGATGCTGCAATCATACTTAGCAGGTATTGTGCAAAGAATCTAAGGTGCAAACTATCAGGTTCGTGTGAAAGCACAAATTTTTAAGCAAGGTGATTTCTCTTGCTTAATGTCATCGTTATTTAACCCGGTCAAGACTATCACAAAATCAGAAATCAGATGTTGTCATTTTGGAGATTGAAGAGTTTTGAGTTTGATAACATTTATAAAAGTGGCGTTCGGTTTCCATATAACTTAAAATTCAAATTTGCCCAAGAGAAGTTTCTCTAGATGGGGGAATAGTATATAACAATCCGAGACGGGAAATGCTTCATTGCTGGTCGAGAGGTTAAACTGAACCTCGAGACAGCAATGAAGTTTTCCGTCGAGGGTTGTATACTATTTTTAAGAGGGGGTTATCATCTGACAATTTAAGCTATACACTATTGGAAAAGACTATAGATTTGCACAGTATACCTAGAAAGGAGAAGGGAGATATCAGATACTTAGATATGTTTTAAAATTATATCTAATTACATTGACTGTTCAGAATTACTTGAATTAATCCAATTTCATGTGCCTTCACGAATTTTGAGGGAAGGTAAAACGTTTGAATTGAAATTTCACAGAACTTCCAATGGCCAGAACTCTCCTCTGACCAGGATAATGAGAACAGCAAATTCATTTGATGGCGATCTATTTAACATAAGTCTCAATGCCTTAAAGTCCCAACTTAAAAACAAACAAACTCCTCCCTTCTGATAGCTTTATTAATTTGGAAAATGTCCTAGTCTTTTGTCTGTGTTAAATTAGTATTTAGTGTGTTTAAATTGTTTTACCTAACAAATGCGGAAAGTGATACTTTACCGCACGCAACGGCAGATTCAAGCCGTTAAGGGCGGTAAAGGCACTTTCCGCATGTGTTAGGTACAAAATTTTACCTATGAGCATCTACATCTCCAAAAAAAGACATTGATAAAATTAGTTAATGAATCAGATTATTTAATGAAATTAGATAAGATTTAGAAATGATCAAAAATCCATTTTCTGAAAAAGAGAGGATTTTTGATTATAAATATTAAATTCTACTTTACCGCGCACTATGCGGTAAAGTGCACTTTACCGCACACTTTGTATTCTACTTTACCGCATACTATGCTGTAAAGTTAACTTTACCGCACACTATGCGGTAAAGTGCACTTTACCACATGGTGTGCGGTAAAGTGATACTTTCCATTTGCAAATACGTGCGGTAAAGTGCACTTTACCGCACGCTCGTAGGTAAATAACTATTACAGTACTTTTTTTTTGGTTTCTGGAAAAATTTTCGCCTACGAAGTCTATGTCTGCGTTTTGTGTGCCCTTCATGTCATTGTTCGTATAGCCTTTGAAGTTGCTATCCTTGTTAATTCTTTTATATCCTACTGAACTATTAAAACCATATAATACCTTGGTTACGATAATCATAAACAGGGTCTTAACTCCAAGGATTTTCATAACTCCCAAGGGAGTTAAGGAAGGGAGTTAAGGATATCATAACTCCCAAGGGAGTTAAGGATTTCCATAACTCCCGCTTTTACCTTGAATAGGTAACACTTTGCCAAAAATAGAAATTTTGATTTATGGCTTATTCCTTTATAAAAATAGACAGAATACAGTAAATTCAGTAGGATATAAAATTATCTATGTACCACGGGAATTATCAGGAGTTAATACCCACGGGCAATTGGTGTCCCTCGGGCCGGAGGCCCTCGGGACACAAACGTTGCCCTGGGGTATTAACACCCGCATATTTCCCTTGATACATAAATAACTATTATATCCTACTGAACTATTACAACCATATAATACCTTGGTTACGATAATCATAAACAGGGTCTTAACTCCCTTGGGAGTTAAGGATATCAAAACTCCCAAGGGAGTTAAGGATTTCTATAACTCCCGCTTTTACCTTGAATAGGTAGAACTTTCAGAAAAAATAGAAATTTTGACAAAAAAGCTTTATTGAAAACTGCAATTCATCTTTTATTCTAAAAATCTATCAACTTCATTTTTATTATTACAAATAATAAATTTACAATTATCAAAATTGCCCTGGAAACTATTTCCATTGCTGCAATTTAATTTTTTTTGTATGGCTTTTGCTGTTACACATTTGAATTGATGTGCCTGCCTCTTCTGATCGTAAGGTAGAGAGCATCCGTGCCGTTTGATTTTTTAGCTCGATACTATCGGCTAAATATCCTTCCGCCACTGTGGAACTTTTCCAGCCTCCATGCCTTTTTAGGTTTGTCATAGTTGCACCTGCATCTGCTAGCGCAGTGGCAGAGGTGCGACGAAGACAGTGTCCCGTAAAAGAAGATGGGTCTGGCAATTTTAAATATGATGCAATTTTACTGGGAATTTTCCCGAATGTATTTTTCCCGATTGGCTGGGAGGTGCATCTATTTTGGCGGTAGTTCAAAAAAAATCTTCCGATACCATTAGGTCGTAATGACATGTAAAATTTCAATAAAGGCAGAGCAACGAACTCATCCTCATCAACAATCGTGAATTTCCTTGGTATACCCGTTTTACTGTCTGGTATACTCACGACCATAACCTTGTCCCGGTCCTCTATATCACTTAGCTTCATATTAAGAAGTTCTTGAGTTCTGCACCCTCCAAAAATATCCCATTATTAAAACTATCTGCAAAACAGGTAATGAATACATACACAAAGAAATATAGAAATTAGGTTATTTACCTTATTTAATAAATGCATGTCATTGGGGGCTTCTTTGAGGAACTTGGCGATATGCTGAGGGGACAATACCGCAGACTTTTTCGGTCTATAACCTTTGCTCTTTCGTTTCAAAAAGGCCTCCAATTCGTTGAATTTTTTAAAATCTTGTTTTTCGTGTATAGATAGCATGGATTTCAACATTGACCATTTAGTCCACAAGGAATTTGGACTAAAACTTTCTGACTGCAATAAATAAGGCACAATTACTTACTAAACAAAACATAATGGACAATAGTTACCGTACCATTTCTTGAAAATATGCCAAGAGAACAGTTTCGTCACTATTCTTTGCTGGGATACCTTTTTGTTCCAGCCAGTGGATATATTTTCTATATTCTTTATTATATAGAGTCTCACTCTTGGCTGGGACCAACGTTTTTCTTGCTTCCTCGGCTTTTTTCATTATCTCGTCCATTATAATAAGCTTTTTGTTCACCAAAAACGCGTTTCAACGACAAAATGTGACCTTTATCAATTATAAATAACAAGCCATAGTTACAGTGCCTCTGCCATAGTAACAAACAATAGAACTTGTGTCATAGACAAAGCTAGTACCTACTACTTGTCTATGACTTGTTTGTACCAGCAAGGCACATAGAAACGCACCTGAATGCTCATATAGGTAGTCAATGGTTAATTTCTTTATAAAAATGGACAAAATAGGAGAAATTCAGTAGGATATAAAATTATCTATGTACCACGGGAATTATCAGGTGTTAATACCCATGGGCAATTGGTGTCCCTCGGGCCAAAGGCCCTCGGGACACAAACTTTGCCCTGGGGTATTAACACCCTCATAATTCCCTTGATACATAAATAACTATTATAATTATTGTCCTCCCTAATTTTGCTTCTGCTGTCATTAACATTGCCATTCTTGTGCTTTTGTTCGTTTTAAACTCAAAAATGAACTTTTATGCTAGGTATAGCCTATACTCAGGATATACTTGAATTGTCAAACCGGCTCTTAGAGATTCAATAAAGGTTCTATTCATTTTTACAAAAAAATACAACAATTTGTTTAAATAATACAATATTTTATTAATAATTGAACTTAAAGCTATAAAAATAATATATTATTACAGCAACTGCAAAAGCTTGCTTATCTAACAAGTATTACAAATTTAAAAAATGATTACAAAATTGATTCTTTTTTTTTTAGTAGGTCGATGTGTTAATATTATAAACGTTTAGATAGTAACATGATTAACAAAAATATTACATATACAGTCCACCATCTAGAAATACTGACAGTGTTTGGCGATTTTTTTTTATTGCACATAACAGAAAATGAGGAATGATCTCGTCCTAGTAAAAAAAATGGATTTTAACAATAAATATAACTTTGTTTTATTATTATTTAATAATACAATATTTAGAGTTTGTAAAGTATTCCAATTTTTTGCTTCAATGGTTTCTGTTGGCATTAACTGGTTTCACCCTGAAAAAACAAATAAAAATTAGTATGTAGTATCATTCAAATATTTATTACTCAAGTGAGAAAATAAATCTTAAATGGTGTTCAATAAGACATCTTAAGATCCACAAAATTTTACTGGAGGTTCTTCATTAATCAACTCCTGAAAATCGAAAGTATGTACAGGGTGTCCCAAATTCGAGGGTGACCATTGAGATATCGGAAACTATCAGAGATACGAGGTCGGTTAAATTATGGCAAAGTTGCGCAATTTTATGACCAATAAAATGCCGATTTTAAATTCGGAAAATTCCGAATACTTCCGAAGATATTCGAAAAAAAAAAAACGAAATTTTGCAAATTCATTTTTATTTTTCCCTCAGTCTATTTGAAGAGCAATTTCAAAATAAATATCACTTCATCATTGTCACTTTTTCCCCTTTACAAGATGTTGCTACCAAATTTCAGATTCGACGTTTCGTCTTTGGGCGGCCATCATCAACTTCATTTTTCTAAACACGGACCTGGATTTTTTATTTCAGATTTTAAGAGTTCCTGATGTCCCAAAACCTATGACATATTGCATTTTTTCGAAAAACTATTTTTATTACTTTTTAGAAATTTCCTACCAAAATTCACTTTTCTGTCTCTCTTTAACACATTTAGTTCTTATGGAAAGTGCCAATAACATAGGCTTTTCGAATAAATGTAATGGCTCTTTGGTTTTGGGACATCAGAAGCTCTTAAAATCTAAAATAGAAAATAAGAGCGTATTTAAAAAACTGAAGTTGATGATGGTGGCCCAAGGACGAAACGTCGAATCTGAAATTTGGTAGCAACATCTTGTAAAGGGGAAAGAGTGACAATGATGAAGTGACATTTATTCTGAAATTGCTCTTCAAATAGACTCAGGAAATAATAAAAATGATTTTGCAAAATTTCGGTTTTTTCCGAATATCTTCGGAAGCTTTCGGAATTTTTCAAATTTCAAAACGTCATTTTATTGGTCATAAAATTGCGCAACTTTGCCATAATTTAACCGACCTCGTGTCTCGCTTAAGGACTGACCACCCTTCTAAAATTTTCATTTTTTAACTGATTCAATTTTTTTTTTGTCTTATACCTTCTCGAATTTGGCACTTATTAAGCTCATAATCTTATTTCTGTGGCTGTACTGGTGTACAGGCTGTCCACATTTATAGGCTCAAATTTCAATAAGCACCATTGGGGATTTTTTTAGAAAAAATCTTATAGCAAATTCTTGTTTAGAATGGTCTAAAACCCAAATGTACCAATTTTTGTTTCAATACGATACAGGGGAGTACAACAAATTTTCAAAATTTAATGGACTAAACTGCAAAAATGTCAAATTTTGAGGCCTTGAGAATAACAACATAGTTTTAGAACATCCTTCCAAAACTTGTAGTAACCTTGTCTCAAAATATGACATTTTTGCGGTTTGATTCATTAAATTTTGAAAATTTGTTGCGATCACTCGTAGATATTCTAAATATGTAATTGATTATACAGATATTCTGAATAAGTATGTATCTGAATTTTCGAATATTAACTGAACTTTCGAAAATTTTAATTGACAATAATTGAAAACATTTGGATTTCCAAAGTTCTGGATTTAAAGCTTTCGAATCCAAAAATCCAACAAAAAGGTTTTCAACTGTTAAGATAAAGACTCTGTAACAATAAATCAATAAAGATTTTAGGAATTCTGGAAAATGTCAGTCTAGCTCTCCTTTTAAACTCATCAAAAACTATCTAGAATCACGAGAATCACCGAAGATATTAATAAATACTTTAAAATGTCTCACGCAAAGCTCCTGACTTGAGAGTGTAAACTCTTCAAAAATTATAAAGATTCATAATTGAAATTTTTAATGATTCTAAGGGCTCTGAAGATTTTAGAACTTACAACTCTTAAACACTTGACTTTTTAAAGACTTTCAGTTTCTTGGTTCAAAGCCCTTAAATACTCCAAATATCTTAAATATATCAATGTTTCTTAAGGCTCATGGCTTAAGACTGAAATACTCTCAAGACTCTGAACCACAGAACTGAAGATGAGAAAATTAAAAATTTTTGAAGGTTCATTAGTCATGATTTTAGAATAGGGAATATAAATACTATGTTCAGTTAAGACCAAATATTCTAGATTTAAGATCTGAGGATCTCAATTTAAAGCCTTTAAAGATCCCGAAGACTACTCTACTCATTTCTCAAATACTTTAAAGAGGCTCGCTTATGACTGAAAACTTGATTGTTGATTTAGGACACAAAGCCTCTGAGTATTTCATAGAGACTCCCACAAATTTAGAGATTTCAAAAACTTTGAAGAGATTTGAAACCCTAGTCCAAAGATTTTGAAGATGTAAATGTGAGACTCATGATTTAAAACTAAAGACTCTGACGCCACAAAACTAAAGACTTAAGAGATTTTGAGAACTCAAACATTTCATAATAAAGACTCAAGATACTGCTGATTGAAGACTTAAGTTAAGACGGAAGTCTCCAAAGATTCAAAAAATGTAAAAGTTAAACATCTTGGATGATTTGACCTAACCTTAAAGAATTTTGAAAACTTTAACGTATCTTTGAGCCTAAATCTGAAGGCCCAAGAATTTGAAGATCCTAAAAATTTTGAAGCTTCATTTTCTAAGACTTTAAATATAATTTCCAAAAACTTGACTCAATAAGATTTTGAAGAAACAACACTGAAGACTTAAGCTTTCGAAGATTCCAAAAGCTCTAAAGCCGCATTTTTCAAGATTTTAAATTATAGATTCTGCCTTTTTAATGCCTAGCTTTAGAACAATAAAATAATCAATTTTTTTTATAAACCAACACCATTTGAAAACATAGGAAAATTCCCTCCTCTGAAAATTTATTCTCTTTTGCCTAATATGTATGAATTATTGTCTCCTAGAAAAATGTTTATTTTGCCACAATTAGGCAATTCAATCCATCTGTCAAAAAGGAAAATTCAAAGTGGCGTGGCGGCCAAGCAAGCTTGTTTTGAATATATTTTTATGCGTATTTTAAATTATTTTGCATAGAGTTTTGCTTACAACTTTGATTTTCATTATTTATTAAAATATTTGTTAACTAGGTACCTAAACTATTAATTCGGGCAGAAACTAGATATTTTTTTATGTTTTTTGGCCCATGTGTGGCCGCCACACCAGCTTGAATGTCACGTGGTTTGAATTGCCTAATTGCTAAATAATTGAAAGTGACATAATGAGGCAAATGTTCGTGAGTATTTAAAAATTCAAATCACTACTACTTACATTCTGATAAACGCTGGCCTCACTGTTTTTGCTTTGCTCAATCCTGAGTTGCTCTTTCAGATAATTTACTTCCTAAAAACAAGAAAGTTACACTAAGTTAAAAAGGCAATATGGTATGACATACTTCCGATAGCCTCTCTATTGTTGCCATTGAATCCGATTGAACAGACTTGACTCCGGATTTGTTCAACAATTGTTGTCGTTCCTCTATAAGGCGGGCTTTTTCTGATTGCTCATGGACAACCTGATTTTCTAGTTTCAAGACTTTCTCTTGCAACTACAACCAAATATAAATTGTGACAAGATTGTACGAAATTGAGGTTATAACAATTTGACTAAAAATACACAAAGTGAAACCACATCGAGTTTTATGATAAGCAAATGTTTCCCGAAATTATTTTTCCCAATTCCCATTTCTTTTGCCTTGGGCTAATTATTTTTTTTTTATTTTATTTTTTACATTTTTGAGTGTTGATTATTGAATTATTAAAATTGCCTGTAGCCTTCAAAAATACACATTTTTTCCTAAATCACATGCCACAAAGACATTTATTTTTAATTATTGATTTTAAACACCTACAAAATAGGCAATCATATTCGCACGCTCATATTAACATTAAACTAAATGCAGGCATTGACCCTACTAGCCATTCAGAAAAAAAATTACTAGTGCCAAGTTTTTTAGTTAATCAGACTAGCACAGTTTCAAAGGACCGCAGCTTCATCAATAGTCATAAAGTTAAACTCGTATGTGTTTAAGCTAAATATAAAATTTGATGAAATGAGCACATCCAAGTAACATTTTTAGTAACATTTAAGTCTGAAGCGCGTTAATATTTACACTACAAAAGCAAGAAATAAATCAAAGTACCTCATCAATAATAAACGGCAGCGATTGTTCAATGCAGTTATAGGCAAACTGAATCCCATTAGAATCGGGCGTTTTGGGAGGTAATGCCTAAGAAGGCAAATTACTTCAAATATTTGTTTTAAAATTAAGCAGCTTCTAATTATCACTGACTCAAATTGCCATACGAATATTTACCTGAGATTCATGAGACGTGATTCGATTTTTTAAATCTTGGATCTCCGACTCTTTCTCAGCTAATTCTTGCCTCCAACTCCTTTCTGCTTGGTCTGCCCGAAGTTGTAGGGATTTTAAAGATTCGTCCTTGAAACATAAATAAAATAGAATTCAAAATACATATTTAATTATTGAAAAATCTTACCGTCTCGTCCAACACTTTTTTATAAACTTGCACTTCCTTCTGTAACTTGGCAGTTTCGGAAGTTTCAGATACTGTCTTCTGAAGCTGACTTATATGTTCTCGTATAGCTTGTTCATATTTGTTTTGCCAATCGGTGGAGGAAACGGTTTTCAGGCTATCGATTTCAGGGAATAATCTCTGGATGAATTCCTTTTGTGCATTTTGCTCCCTGGATTTGATTTCAGAGGTAATTTGCTAGAAAAAATAAAATCAAATTATAGTAAAAAACTGGTAATTTTATGAAAACAAAAAATTCAACAATTTAATATAACAAATGCAATTGAAATGGAAAGTGATTAAAGCGAATTGGATGCAAATTATTCAGCAGAAAGGCATATAATAGGTACACCCAGATTTTTTTTTTTTTATCACATCTGCGCATTTTCCCAAGCCAATTATGAGTAAAATTGATCCATGAAAGTTGAACATGAATTGATTGATTGAATCACACATTTCAATAGAAACAGGGAGTATCAGTTCCAAAAAGTCGGAAAATTTAAACCTCAGAAGATATGACATTTTTATAATTTTACGTTTTTGTCAGTTGGGAATGGAAGTAATAGGGACCGGTCACAAATTGAAATTCGCGACCCCTAGTGAGAGATGTCAAAAGTTTTTGTATTAATAGTTTGTCAAATTTTCACTAGAATTTCGAAAAATGGAGCTGGAAATACATTTTCGTTTCCAAAATATAAAATTTAATCACCACGAAGCTGCATACAAAAAAGGTGTGGCTCTAGTGAAAGCTAAACATGTATTGCAAGTGCAAGTAGTTGAACGAGATTTTGGAGGGGACTTATCCATTTTGAAAGGGCATGTTATGCGCCAAACCTCCATAAACAGCTCTCCTTATGCTGTTGAGCTAGGTATAACAATAAAATGGACGCTACAAATCCTTGACTGTCTTTCTGGCTCCCACATTTTACTATTTTTTGAATTGGATCTTAAAACGATAAAGAGTAAAGTAACTACAGGCTTTTTTTTTCGCCAAGATAGATTTTGACATCCTCAACTTTGAAACATAAACAATGCCGCTTTTTGGTCGGAACATGCCATTTGCACTGATAGCAATTTCCATTTGTCGAACCAGTGTAATTTTTTTTTATCCTTATCCTTACATGTTACATGCTTTTAGAAAAAGATGCGGATAAACTTACCACAGAACATATCACCTCTAGAAAAGTATCTGCAATGGTATGTACCGGTTATGAATTACAGCGCCATCGTTGAATGAAAACCCAACTAATCGAGCATTCTTGACAAAAAGGCGAATCTATTTTTTCCCTATATTTTTAATATTTTTAAATAATTTTTAATGCTCAACTGCATTTGGCTTGCTGACTCCTTTTAGCTCTTTTCGCCTCATTTTCTTGAAAACTATGACTGGCAGGAAGTTTCCAATGTCGAACATAGTGCAAAGAGAGTTAGTAAGTTAGCAAGCGACACGCAGCTATAGGTAGATCGCAAAGTAAATACGAATAATAAATACAAATACGAACGAAACGAAACAAACGAACAAATACAAAAAATACGAACAAAAATTTGGGTTTTTTTCAACCAAAACTTTTTGAATTTTCACTTTATCGCGCGTGGGGACCGTGGGGTACAACAACACAATTTAAAAATTCAAATTTTGACTTTTGAAATGACAAAATAATGACAAAACCAACCAACACAAATCACTGTCCGCACCACAGATACCTGTAAATTTCTCTTATCTCCCGACAGTGTCGCCATCGTTGATTGAAAACCTAACTAAAAACCTTCGTCGCGATTCTCCCATTTGAGATATTTTTCTATAGGTGATATGTTCTGTGAAACTTACTGCAAACTGACTGGCAAATGGAAATCACCATGATGTCAACCTACAGGGACACCTCATTTTGCGACCAATCAGGGCCAAGAGGTATTGTTTACGTTTCAAAGTTGACAATGTCAAAATCTATTTTATGAAAAAATAGACAATAAATCAATACGAAAACTCAGTGTATAATTCCTGTGTCTTTCCTGATCATGGGACCGACTAGGAAAACTGTAGAAGTGAACATTTCCACTTGTGTTGGCATAATTATTGCCACAGTTAACAACACAATAATTTGTGAAACTGTTCCTGGGTGAAGGCATGACAAGTAGTGGGTATGCACAATAGCCTGAATAAAAGATAATAAAAAGCGTTTGGCAAATAATAATTACAAGAAAAAAAGTGAAATTAAATACAATTGTTCCGTGTAAACAACCATACCTTTATAATGAAAAATATTTCGCTTTGAAATCGTTTTTAATAACAAAAATTACATTTGTGTAAATGGAATCAAGCACTTGTCATAATACAAGAACTTACATTGCTGTTGAAAGAGGGCGCTACTGTAGTTTATGGACGGATTCTATAGTCTAATAAAGTACAAGTTGCAGAAGGTCACTTAAAGTATGTTTTTTTTTTAAAGATAAAAGTCAAAATGACATTATGTTGGCAGTACAATTCAAGACAACCCAGAAAAAATCAAATTTTTAGGAGTTACATTGGATGCGAAGCTGACTTTCGAGCAGCATGTCAACATTATTTCAAAGAAACTTTGCTCGGCAATCTATGTTCTTCGTAATATATCGAAAATTGTAGATAAAGAAACATCAAAAATGGCGTATTTCATTCAGTGAGCTTCTATGGACTCCTAGCATGGGGACACTCATGTCATACCTCTCGCATCTTTGGTCTGCAGAGAAGAGCAGTTAGAATTGTAGCTGGCATCAAATACCGAGATGATGTCAAACCATCCTTTAGGGACCTAAAAATATTAAGTAACTCTTCCAGCACAATATATCCTAGAGTCTCTACTATATTTTCATAGTAACTCTTCAAACTACACTCGTGCCGAAGAGGTCCATAATTACAACACTCGCCATCGTTATAACGTGCAGATTGACTTTTCACGATTAAAAACCTCCTGGAGCGCAACGCGATATTATGCACCGGCATTTTTCAACAAACTGCCTCCTACGATACGAAACATTCCCATAAAGCCAATTAAAAATAAAATCAAGCAATTCTTCTTAAGTAAGTGCTTTTATTCAATAGAAGAATTTTTGCAATATCAGGTCACAGATTTGGATTTTAAACTTGTTTTGAATAGTTTTGACCGTTCATAGTTACTTAGTGCTGTCCTTTTATAATGTTTAAAATTTTTTATACAGATGTGATATACCCATTAAGTGATATAGTATTTTATTAATTGTAATTGTAATTGATTGTAACCTAGTTTTAAGATTTTGATAACGCTATGAAACTCTGTTTTAAGTCTGAAATATATACAACCTATACAACCTATAGTACTCATTGGGCAGTACAATGTGAAATTGTCAATGCTTTCAGATTTTTTATGTAGAAAAGGCTTGTGTTGCCAACATAGTTACTAAATTTTTGACTTGGAGAATTATCTTTAAATAAAAAACAAACTTTATTCCCGCACGAATTCGACATTTGGTCACGAGCGACGGAGAAGCGAGTGAACAAACGGATGAGTGCGAGAATAGCCTTCTGCAACGTGGGTTTTATACTATTTTCTCGATTTTAGATTTTATTTATCACTAGCTAATGACCCGCTGCGTTGCCAGCGTGTAAATACATTTTGAAATAATACACTTCTTTTCAAATTTTGTTGCTGATTTTCTATTTAATTTTTTTTTTTTAAATCCGATATCAGAGTCGCTTGCCAGTGAGTCCAGTGACGCATTTTAAGCACTCCAGAGCTGCTCTAGAGCGCCCCGGGCTGTTTATAGGCGTTCCAGTGTATCAGAGTTTTACGCAACCGAACTTTTTTTTTCGGGATAAAAAATAGCCTATATCACTCTCCTCTACATATAGCCGATTTGATTGACCGGATTAGATCGATCTGGTTCAATTTAAATGAACGACACTATGTTCGATTCAAGCTGGATCAGTGCACCCTCATCAACAAAAAAATGATCTAGATCAGAAGAAGTTCACTTAAATTGAACCCAAATCCATCTAATCTGGGTCAATCGTATTCACCTTATATAGAGATACGTGGTATTAGGCCTGTTCGCACAGCAATCACAAACCAGTCAGAGCGATTTTCATTGGTTGAAAACAGTCAGAAACAGTCAGAAAACTAGTTTCAACCAATGAGATTCACGCTGACTGGTTTCTGATTTCTATTAATTCAAGATCGGTCCGAAATTACATGGACAAATCAAATTAAATATCTAGGACTATTACTGGACAGTAAACTTTCTTGGACCCCCCACATTTATCATAAACTGAATAAATGCAACAGATTAGTGGGATTGCTTTATCCATTACTTAACAAGGACAGTAAACTAACTCTAAAAAACAAACTATTACTATACAAACAAGTTATCCGACCTACATTACTTTACGGTGCAACAGTTTTTTCACAGACAACACGTCAAAATAAAAAGAAACTGCAGGTGTTTCAAAACAAGGTAATCCGCAGGATGGTCGGCTCTCCGTGGTATGTCCGCAATGCGGACCTACATACAGACCTGAGCGTTGATACCATCCAGGAGTACCTTGTTGAGAAACATACGCGGTTTCTTGACAAAGTAACTAACCATACAAATGACATAATTAAATATTTTATTTGACGATAACTATACTATTAACCCTGACAGAACTATGTTCAGAAATTTAAGAGCTCCACTTCTTTTCTAGTGAATGAAATCCCCTTCCGTCCTTTACCTTCCTTCCTATCCTTTCCCCACTCCCCTCCCTTTCCCTGAACAAAAATTAACTGAAAACACAACACATGGCAGTAAGTAGACACCCAAAATTGCGTAAGAGTGCTGTTGCACTAACGCAGTGTTAAACTCAAAAGAAGAAGAAGAAGATCGGTCCAGCCGTTCTTGAATTAAAAAAATAATAACGTTACGTCGGTTGAATGCAAGCCTAAATAAATGAAATATAGCAACGTTATTTCATGCTGTAAAAAAAAGTTGGGTTATGTTGTTATGTAATGTGAATGAGTTTGTTTACAATTAAATTAATAATTAATTCAAAATTAATTTCTTTTTACGAGATGCGTAACCTATCCACAAACCTTCCTTGGGATGGCCATAACAACCTACCAAAGTTTCATCGTAATCGGATAAGTGGTTTTGGAGCGCATATCCGGATACCCTGTGAACTTTGATTTTTATATATATAGATTAGAAGGTTT